GGGGGGGGGGGGGGGGTTTCCTGTTCGTGTGTGTGTTTGTGTGCGCAGCAGGAGCAGGGTGGAGCAGGAGGCGGGATGCGCCAATGGAAAAGACGCACCGCTCGTCTATTGGACCGGACGCGCAGTGGGCGCATGCAAGACGCGCCTACCGAAGCTTAAAGATTTTTTTTTTCCGGGACAGGAGACATGAGGTTCCCAGACACCTGTCAGGAGGACTATACATCCAAAAGCTGTATTTGAGGCGACTGGAGGCTGCGTGTTTGGCCATGGACGCGCTGTTATCGTTATTATAGCCTCTCGGTGTCCAAGAAGCGTAAAGTTATTCAGCTGCTTTTCTTGTTTTCCTTTGTGTTATTCTTCCTGTTTTGTTGTTTTTTTCATAAATATTTTTTTCAAGCCGCATGAGTTCGCCGCTGTTTTTAGGCCAGCTGGTCGGGGTTCCGTTAGAAATAATGCACCCCACCATGGAGAAAGACACGACTTACACCAAGATTTTTGTCGGCGGGTTGCCGTATCACACCAACGACGCTTCACTTCGGAAATATTTCGAGACTTTCGGGGACATCGACGAGGCGGTGGTAATCACAGACAAACAGACGGGCAAGTCCAGAGGATACGGCTTTGTGAGTTCATTTAAGTTGCTGTTTTCTGGTTGAATAAATGAGCGGGGGGGGGAAATANNGGGGGGGGGGGGGAGTGAAATATGGGCTTTAATTAAGGTTTTATCAGCCACTCTGACTTTAATTGGATAGTCAAAGGGGCTGAAAACACTCTACATCACGCCTGTTGCAGCCCTGTAATGAGTTTAAAGCGACTTTATCTTTATGGTTAATTGTATTTTTTTAACATTTTTTATCTCCTGGTTATCACAACGTCCTGCAGGGTTTTTTCTTCTGGGCCTTGGTGGCTGCACACACTGTCACTTTGTTCCAGCAGCAGACATGCTCAGTGGGTCTGGTGGTGGCAGTCACATGCTTCAAGCATGAGTAGCAGATTACTTCTTATAAGTGTGTCATCAATTATCTCTGCAGCCCCAAAGTACGAGTGAGCGCGCAGACAGACACACACACACACAGCATTAGTATGGCAGTGTGTTGAGTTTTAAGTGTGCAGTGTCAGGGGCAGACCCTGTTGCTGTGTGTGCAGGAACAAGCTAAGAGAGACAGACAGACAGACAGACAGACAGACAGAGAGAGGGTGATACACATGAGTTGGTAATAAGCTTCTGCATTTGTGGACAGATGTCTCTCTCTCTCTGAGACACAGAGAGAAGGGGGGGGGGGAGTCCTTGGTCACAGAGGTGTGACATGTCAGTTGGCTCTGCAAGATAAGGCTGCAGTAGTTTCATTTTGACTTCCTCCCATACAGCCCCCCCACCCCCACCCCCCCTTCCAGGATGGCTTTGGTTGTTTGCGTGAGTGACTGTGAGTTTGTGTGTAAAAGACAAAGAGATAAGAAGAGGGATTCGTGTGTCTTGGACTGAATGTGAATGGTATCTGCATCTCAGTAGTCAGTGGGCCTATCAGCAGAGGAAACCGGCGTGTGCTGTGTTGTTTTCTTCTGCTTTGGGACTGCACGATCATCTCATCCCTGACTTCCCATTAGCGATCTTAATTCCCTGCAGCAGCCTCTTGAACCCCGGCGATCTCAAACCATCCGCCACCTTTGTTTGCATAAGAGGCCAGAGTCTGATGCTTTGAAACGAAAGCAAGCATGGCAGTTTTACTTTCACTGTCCCAGTTATTGGTGATGGAGTTTTTTACCTCATATATTAAGTGTAGCTGCTCTGTGTGTGTCTTAACCTTCAGCACCTCTTCCCACTGCTATCTGCCCACTCCTCAACTCACTCCCTCAAGGTAGATTCCACTATCTCATCCTTGGCAGCCCTGTCTGAAAAAACAAATCTGCCTCCTACATAAGCTCCACTGGAAGCTTTAAAACCCACTGATTGCTGCCTTCATAAAGTGTCTCCTCACGCATTTAGCAAAAACATTGAGTCATTCATGGAGAGACAAGGACAGCAGCAACCTCAGGGCCGCCCAGCTCTGGGTCTGTTGCTTCATCTGGACACTCATGTTGGATTCACTCCATCCACATTGGATAGAGAAGCTTTCACATGCAATTTTGCAGCTTGAAGAGTTTAACCAGAGTGATATTAACCAGTGCAGTTCTGTGACTCTGTCAACAGGTGACCATGGTGGACAGAGGGGCAGCAGAGCGGGCGTGCAAAGACGCAAACCCCATCATCGACGGCAGGAAGGCAAACGTGAACCTGGCGTACCTCGGGGCAAAGCCTCGCAGCTCGCAGACAAGTAAGTGTGCTAGATTACTTCTAAACACACCGGATCATACCAGTAGGGTTTATTTTAGCCTCCTAGCTACAAATCCTGTTGTTAGCTTAAATTCTGCATGTTCTTTATCGTCAACAAATCCTGTAAAAAAAGACCAAAACCAAGAAGGTGTTAGTTAGTCTCCCAAGGCCATTGGTTCATACTGAAGATGTAAATCTTTAAAAACAGGTCACAAATAAATAGTTTTACTTTTTTTTAAAGACCAGTATGTAGGATTTAGTGGCGTCTAGCGGTGAAGTTCCTGACTGCAACTAACTGAACACCGCTTGCGTCTGTATT